CTCTGTGTAATATTCTTCCAATTAAAACTTAATTTGCATGCTCCAGTTAATTTTTTTATAAGGTTTGGTCATAATTTTGAAGCAGGAAACATAGATTCTTTTGTTACGTTTAAAGCTTAAGTGCACAAGGGTTAATAAAGGTGCCTTTTACTTGTACATCACCAGTCAAGAATATTCCCTGAAATGGAGTGAAACTTTCAGTGCATATACACTAAGATACCTCAGTGTGTGGAAGCAGGACATAATTCTTAACTTTGTAATTTCATTTGTGCCAAGATTTTCTTTTGAGACCTTTAACCCTTAAACGGTCCAAACGTATATATATGTTTTTTTCAACATCTGAAAGTATGTAAAAAAATGTAGATCTTTTTTGTTTTACATTTGAAAATATGTAAAAAAAAGTAGATCTACGAATTTGAATGTTGATCTGTTTGGACCGTTTAAGGGTTAATACAGTATAATATACTATACGTATATGTAAATCTTGTCACCCTTGAGTGACCTTGTGTACTCTAAATATTTCTGTCACAGTATAATAGACAAATACAAAACATTTTGCAAGCTGGTTTGGCCATCTTATAAGTGAAGTAATTGTCATTTAAGAGATTATATGGTGGTTACGAAAATATAGACCACATACTGGTCTAGTGTAATTTTATTTTCAAGGTAGAAAAAATGTACCACATACTATACTTCCCATCATAATGCTTCTCAGGATGATCAAGCTAACTAATATACCACTATAAGCACATATTTCTTCCTTTTTGAAAAAGTAAGTCGTGGTGGTGGCAAATAATTTATATTTACTGGTCAACTGACTCAATATAGTAATTACTCCAACTCACCTGCTATCTGCTTTAACTTAAACTGTACTGTTATAATAGTGCCACATTTCACACAAGTTTTATAATAATAGTGCCACATTTCACACAAATTTTAGTGTAATTTCTTTGCCTGTTTTACTGCTTCCAACCATATCCTTGTTTATATCTTTTAAGGAAGCTTTTAGTAGTGATAAATCCTTAACATTCCTGTATTTCTTGATCCAATGTTTGCCACATCAAGGAACATCTATGCAAACCTTAAATCGTTTGTTTTATAAACTTGACTCAAACTCTAATAAACCACCATTTCCAGTTACAATGTGTGCTATGAGTTAAGTGTATGCATAAACATGTATAATATATACTTTCAGCATCATAATATGGATCATACTGAATAACTTGTGCCTGTTTAATATTTAAAAGTGATTATTTTATGCAGGTAAAATGTAAATTTTTCTTTTATTTGCATCAGAAAAACTAGTATAGTATACTTGAGAAAAACAGGTATACTCTGGAGTCTGTAAATGGCAAGCCAAATTTAGTTGAGACACGCATTAGATTTCTATAAGGATGGACACTAATAAAAACAAAGTTGTTTCCTCAATTGTAAATAGGTATTGTATATAAAATTTAGTTTTAAGTCTTGATTAAATAAGCATATACAGTATAAATATAAATATATT